CGGAACTTCTACCGTGCACGTCCTCACCATCTGTGAGAGAATAGAAAAAGGAATTTTAGTATACCATCAACCGCACGATAGAAGATGAATAAAGAGTAGTTTCCGAACACCCTATAGCCTCTCGAAGATAAGTACAGACGTCTCCGTACCGATCCGCCAGACTCTATTAGGTTTTCCCATGACTTGTGAGACCTACGTAAACCTAATGCTCTGATACCATGTTGTCACGACCCAATTTCCATTGTAGGTCGTGATGGTGTCCAACACCATTGTTAGACAAGCCAACCCTAATCAACAAGTGAGTTCTCATTCTTTTAATTAATCATTCTTCGCATTTACGTAACTTAAATTCAAAACAATCGATAATTAATGAATTATAAGGCGACTGAATCGGGAAAGACTAAAAGGGATCATAGAAATATGAATACAACCCAAAAATAATAGTCTACTAATGTGTGTACCAGGAGCTAGTGTCACAAGTACTAGGGCAACTAGTAGAATGTACAAAAATACAACTAATCCTACTGCCTGAAATAGAATAGACAGTAAATGACAAAAAGGAGAGACTTCGGCATGCTGCTGAACGGCTCAGAAGGGGCAGTTGACCGTGAGATCTCGATCAGGTATCAAGGAACGCGCGCCGGATGGATAGTCAGATGCACCTGCCTCAGATCCTGTACATTTAAGTACAGAAGCATAGTATGAGTACATAAATAATATGTACCTAGTAAGTATCCAGTCTAACCTCGAATAAGTAGTGACGGAGGGTCGACTAGACACTTACAAGGGTCAATAATAATATAATTCAAGCGTTACGCTAAGCATGGATAGTATGAATATGACATTCCAAGAACAAGAAGAGATAAAATATTCTTTCCTAACAACATAACAATTTCAGTCATATCATGTGATAAGTTACATTCCCAAGCATTCAAGCAGTGTACATCACGGAAAGTTCCACATAAATAACATGCACACATTGTGCCGAGGTCGTACGGCCCGATCCGATACAATAATAAATTGTGCTCTGCCAGAGGGTCGAATGGCGCGAACAATAGATGCATCTATTAACTACCGAGGCGATCGGCACGATCCACAAATAGCAATTTATTATCAAGTAAGCACACATTGCCCATTTATAGTCAAATAATTCATACAAGTTCTCAAGTAAGTGAGTATAGCCGTCTATATTTAATTACCAATTTCTAGCATGACCTAAGTGATCTTAGTAACAAGCAAGGACGCAAGCATTTGCAAGTATAGCATGATACGGGTCCTAAGCTACCCAGACAATTAGCATAATAGTAGCTACATACGGACTCTCGTCACCACGTACGTACGTAGCCCCCACAGATAGTCACATACATTTATTTAATTCACCTATGGGGTTAATTCCCTCTTACAAGGTTAGAAAGGACACTTACCTCGTCCCAAAGCTTACTTCAAATTTCAACAATGCGCTCAAACCCTTAAATTGGAGCCGAACTATCCAAAACTATTTAAATGGAGTAAGAACTAGTCAATATATGCTCAAGAGTTCATATTCTAACTATTAAACTAATTTCTCAACCCTAAATGCAAGGTTCCTAAAATTCACCCCTGGGCCCACGTGCTCGGATTCCGAAATTTTTTGAAGAAAGTTGTTATCCATAACCTAAGGATCAAGAATATATCATTTCTACTACATTCCATAACAAATTTTATGGTCAAATCTTGTTTTTATCAAAACCCTAGCTTTTACTCTAAACCCATAATTTCCACTAATTTACATGTTATAATCTACCCATAAACTATGTATTAAACTCACATTAGGTAGAAATAACTTACCTCACAACGCTAGGCCGAAATCTCCCCTTTTGAAGCTCCCAAATCGCCCAAGAGATGTGTCAGAAATGACACATTCCCGTATTAAATGAAGGCCACTGCCTTCAGCGATTTCCGCACATGCGGTTAGGGGACCACATCTGCGGTCTCGCTTCTGCGAGGGATGGTCCGCTTATGCAGAATTGGGCCAGGCTAGCTGCGGCCGCATCTATGGTTTGGGGATCACTTCTGCGGGAGAGGAGTCGCATCAGCGGAACCTGGGCTCCTCCCTTGGGCTGTATCCGCGATTGGTAAGCCACTTCTGCGGTCTCGCACCTGCGGCTGGCCAACCGCAGGTGCGGTTATGACAAAACTAGAGCTTCAGCTCCATCTCAAATTTCCAACTTAGCTCGAGCCTCGTCCGATCGACGTTCGGGGCCCCCGAGGCCCCGACCGAACATACCGACAAGTTTGGAATCACAAAACGGACTCGCTCGAACCCTCAGAAACGCTAAATCTAAGAATCACACCCTAAAACCAATTGAATCAAACTTATGAACTCAAGTTCTTCAATCTACTTCCAATGTGTCGAAACGTACTTATACTACTCGGATTGACACCAAATTTTGCGTGAAAGTCTTAAATGAAAATACGGAACTATTTTCGGTCTCGAAATTCCTTTTGGAACTCGATAACAGAAAAACCCACTCCAACCCAAATTTAAAGAACTTCAAAATCCTTAAGGAATCACCTTTCACTATTAGGCGCCAAAACGCTCCCGGGTCATCCAAAACCCGATCCGGACATACGTGGGTACATCCGAAATCATCATACAAACCTGTTGGAACCTTCAAATCCTAATTCCGAGGTCGTTTACTCAAAATGTTGACCGAAGTCAAACTTGGCCTTTTAAGTCAACCTTAAGGAACCAAGTGTTCCGATTTCAACCCAAACTCTTCCAATCCTGAACCAACCATCCCCGCAAGCCATAAATCAGTAAAAGCAAGTACGGGAAGTCTTATTTAGGGCTAGAAAGCAAAACGACTAGTCGGGTCGTTACACCTAACTAGGATCAAAATAATTTAATAAAAAGTTGATTAAATAAGATTATTTTTGATAAATATAAATTAATTTGTGATGAGCTAAAATGTATAAACTATAATACAGTCATTAATAATTTGATTAAGCTCTTGCACGAATTCGAAGTAACTTTTAGTGTTTGTTTGATTTAGAAACAAGTTACGCGAAAAATATAATATGGAGATTAATAATGTGGAAATAAGTAGTGTAAAAATTGTAAAGCATAATTTTTTTTTTATCGAATATTTGATTTAATGTATTAAAAATTGGATATATAATGTATAATTAAATTTGTATTTTATAAAAAATATACAAAATTTTGTTTACAGTTATATTTGTGAATTATTATAGGGCATTTCTATTTAATTTAACTCGGTTAAAAGAAACACCATTGGGTGATCTTACCTTTTGCTCTGTCTTTGTGGAGATGGGGAGAAAGTAGCATATCATAGTGGTTTCTCAATATCATGGAATATCATACTTTATACATTGGTACTGAGAAAATTATATTTCAAGAAGCCATTTTCCTCATATTTCTTTGATAGGAGGAATTATTTGTATCACTTGTATCTAAACGCGCCAGCAATATAATAAGTATTGATTGTATTCGTTCGTGCAACGAATACAATCTATATCAACTGTATTCAGTGGCGAAACCAGAAATTTCACCAAGTTTTCAAACTTGAAAGAACTAAAAAAAAAGTTTCCCGATAAAGGGTGTTTAATATATATTATCTACCTCTAAAATCTAATAGTTTACCTATATATACTGTGTAATTTTTCGACGAAGGGTGGTCAATTGACTATGTAGCTTCGCCCTGACTGTATTCGTTTGCGCAATCGTATTCATTCGCTCAATGATTACAACACGTATCAATTGTGACCAACGCGGAATACAAAGGTGTATAACGTGTATCGACTGTATACATAGGTTTATACAAAGGATACAACATGTATCGACTATATTCGTTCACGCAACGAATACAACTAAGGCGGAATACAGAAATCAAGAAAAATAAAATGCTCTTGTTGAAAGTCGAACTTAAAACCCCCGCTAACTAAGCGATCGCTCTAACCAACTAATCCACATCAGTTCAAAATAATTATCTCTTGTTTCATGGATTTGCTATAAAATGCAAATATAGCTACGAATGGTAAGTTTGCTGAAAGTATAGCTACATATAGTAAATTACAATATAAATGTTTGATATGTCGCGTAATTTTGCGCGAAAAAAATTCATCATTAAACTTTTCGATTTGCTATTACTTTTATTAATATGTAATATTTAGCTTTTAAGAACAATATTTTCACTGACCAATCGAATATTAAAAATATTTTCCTATTAGAAAATATTTTTTCGTGAAAAATGACTTCCGTCGTATTTGCTTAATTCTAGCGACTAATCAATTTTGAGGAAGCAATGCCATAGGTTCTTGCATTTCAAATATATTTAAATTAAGATAACGTACTCACCACAAAAACAAAACAAAAACCGAGCAATTGGCAGAGTTTTATTTAATTTGTTCACAACTAATTAGAGCTACTTGAAAATCTCAATCTAAAACTTTGATTTGAAAATCTTATTAATCAATTCAGATCCAACATCGAGAATGTGTACAGCTAAATTTTTTTAATGAAGTGAACTGTGCATACTTTAGAAGTATAGTCAATTAGCCAAGTTGATATTAAAAAATGTAGTGGAACGTGTGATCATCAATCCACCAAAGGATGTGGTGTACGCGGCGCGAATCCAAATGTAATCACGCTCCAATGCAGATATCGGACATCGGGTGAAAAAATAAAAAAGAATCAATACTAATATGCATCTTGCGAAAATATTGGATCTAAAATCAAATAAGATCATTATTTTAATAGGGTGATGCAAAGCATAATTTAATGCAAATGTAAAAAAAAATTCTTAAATTAGATCATTATTAACTTTTGGAATATCGTGACGGAGTATTGAAGTTCAAGTTGCAAATTACTTTACGTTAAAAAAAATAAAGTCTACGCACATGACCTAAAAATAAAAGCATTTTAATAAATTATAAAAAAAAAAATAAGAAAAAATATTAGAGAGCTTGTTCACTTCAAGAAGGTCTATAAATTACGACGTTTGAAGAGCAATGAGATGCACACAAGAAATCTCTAAAAGCGTGAAGTACTAATGGCTAACATGATGGTACATAAGCTTGGGTTCATCCTTACTATTCTTCTCATATCAGCAGCTGGTATTCATATAACTTTATCTCTATATTATAATTCTATCTAATTATATTTATTTTGTGTGTGATTATCTCATATTTCATATGCATGCTTTGATAGTGATATATCCATATGCATGATTTGTCCTAATTTTTTTTACCACATTTGATTTTCCTATCTTTTGAAGAAAAGGCAGGGACGGATGTGGCGTGTTATCAACGGGTTCAATTGAACCCATAAACTTTGACGTGGAATAAAAAAATTATATGTAAAAAATGGTAAAATAGTAGATATGAACCCATAAGTTTAAGAATATAATGGGTTCAATACTAAAACTCTTAAAAGTTCAACCCATGAAATTTAAATCCTGCATCCGCCTTTGAGGAAAGGACGGCATATTTACCATAAATTGATTTTTCTTTGTGTAGAAAGAAATTATAAATCTTCCATATTTGCCTAGTCCTTTTTTCTCGTAGGAAAAAAGTTTGGACTTCTTTAAATTGAAGATCCTTCCTTCTTATTCATTAGCATTCACAATGTAGCAATATATGAGGTTTGCAAGTCGCGCGTGTTTAGGGTGAGAAGTTTAAGGGACAAGTGTTAGGGTGTCACTTGTGTTTGCCTCTTCGTGAGGTTGTTCTCTCGATATTTTGTACTCTCTTTTATATAGTGGATGGCTCATCTCCGCCGTGGACATAGGTCAATTGATCAAATCACGTTAAATGTTTGTGTTTATTTTGGTATATTTCTCTTTTGTTGTCGAATTTAATTTATCGTCGTTGAAAGTTTGTTTTACTAGCTTCCGCATGACATCTGATTTTTTCAATCCTAATAATTTGACGTGTGATTTTTTGTCAAATCAGACTGATTTTGGCATTAATAATTATTATCATGGTTAATATTTCAGTGAATGTTTCATGGTTGGAAAGGAAATGTGTGATAGCTACACCAAATGTGGATCATGATCTTGCTGCAGTCAAGAGGAGACTACTTCCACAAGTTAATAGTCTTAAAACTTGTACTAGAGCTTGTAAAACCAGTGCTGATTGTAGTGATTGTTGGTTTTGTTGCGTTTGCGCACAAAACGCGCAAGGTTATCCCATGTGTATATAGATCATGTGCAAACATGACTATATACAGTCAGACCTCTTTAATTGATGATAGGCCTGCTATCGTCTTTTAATTTTATTGTATCCTTTTATTTCGTCCCCTATGTAATAATGAAATAAGTGAAGTGCACAAGTTTGCAAATAATAAAGTAAGTGAAATGGACGAATTTCAAAAATGGAAAGAAATATTGTCCACAACTCAAAGTGCTAGCTGAGATAGCTGGTTATTATTTTTTTTATTATGCATCATATTTTTACCCAATTTATTATGAATTTATTGCATATGTAGTCTGTATTAGATCCCTTTTCTCGTTCGTCTTAATTTATAAGATCTCCCTCTAAATTTGTCTTCACAATATATACACACAATATAGGATTTGAACATGCGTCATCGGGTTTTGGGAACTCACGTTCTACTGAACTGAACTAAGAGTACTTTCTTATTATAGTAGTTACGACAGTAAAGAAAAAAATTCTTTTTGTACCCCTGGTATATCCTGCATGCATATAAAATGAAAATCTATATATCCAATTTGAATCGATCCCAATGAATCCGTCGTTACTGCCCAAAAAGAGAAAAATAGGTCATGAATCATGATTATATTAATCGCCTTTATTTATGCTATGTACAAAACTTTAAAATTTAATTTTTTTCGAACGGAAGGATAAAGATAAAAGAAATTAAAAATCATCGGTATATTAGAAAACAAGCATAATAAGGGGCAAAAATATGTAAGTTTTCTAAACCTATTAACACCTTTAAACGGTGGAGGAGGAAATATTTAACCATTCGCTGGTAGTTCACAATTCTAGTTATTTTCTTTTACTTAAGTTTATGTTAATTTTTAAAGAAATATTAAGTAGGCAGAGACAACTTCTTCAATGTGATCTCAACTATATCAAACGTTACTTACTTTCCGCGTAGAAAGTATCGGGTTCAGATGAACCAGGTACCAAAGAGCTACATACGCTTCAACATCTGCATACTAAAAGGCTTAATCCTATTTCGGTGTTCTTGTACTCGTTACTACCCTGAGTTACGTACGAAAAATTACGGAACTTTACAGTGTTGGACTATATATATACTAAAATTGCAAAAAATAGTTGATATGAACGTATAATTTTAACAATATAATGGGTTCAATCCTAAAAATATTAAAAGTCGAACTCATAAAATTTAAATTCTGAATCCGCCTCTGTGCAGATTGGCGTTTGTTGTTATTCCCAATCCTTCGATTTCCGGATCGGAACAAAGAGTTCCGTGTTCATACTGATACATCACTCTATGCCATTGGATGTATGTTGGCGCAAGAAAGGGCACTTGATCACTCTATCTATTCTGAAAGTAGGAGTGTACATAGGCTGGGTTGGTTCGGATTTTACAATTACCAAACCAAACCAATTGTGTCGGGTTATTAAATCTAAAGACCAAACAAACCAATAAAACTCGGGTTTTCAATATCGGGTTTTCTCGGGTTTTCGGGTTATTCAGATTTTTTTTCGGTAAAATCTTCGTAGAATAAAACATTTAACTTGTGCTCGAAATATTTCTTTAATCCTAGTAAGATACAACTATATAAAGTATTATTCAAGAAAATAATACAAAATATGATATGTGTCATGGCATTATCCTAAAATATTCAATAATAAAGACAATAAAATTATGTAATATAAATATTGCTAATTNTAAATATTGCTAATTAAAAAGCTATAATAAAAATAAACATAATCTAAAAGTACTAAGTCATGCTAAAATAAATAGACTAATAAGAAAGTATTAATTACATGACTAAACGCTAAAGAAAAAATAGAAATAGGTTATGCATTTTTATCTAAATTATTGCAAAATAAAAAATAGATATTCAATACATTCTCATTCGTAATATTGAATTGAATGTCTTTTGTTAGCATTAATATTTATTTGATTTTGGTTTGGACTTTTGTTAGCATTATTTAATTTATTAATATTAATGGCTATAAAACTTATTTGAACATTCAAAAGCTCTAAGTCCAACCTTGAAATAATACCTTAAAAGATAAAATTATAAAAAACTTTAAAAAAATATTTATAAGCTACATCACTTATATATTAAATATATCTAAAATTTCTATATATGTAATGTCGGGTTGGTTTGGTTTCGGTTTGACTTTCTTTAGTTAAAACCAAACCAAACCAATTATGATCGGGTTTTTTTTCCAAAACCAAACCAAATCAAATCAAACCATAGTCGGATTTTTTTTTCTCGGTTTGACTCGGATTATCAGGTGCGGTTTGTCGGTTTCCTTTGTACACCCCTATCTGAAAGTATACGACTTGATGTCATGCACCAACAATATGAAGAACAAACTTGCAGCATTACTAAGAAAAAAAAGGATACAAAGTAAAAAAATTATATAAAAAAGTAGGGCAAAGGATAAAATATTATTTAATAATAAGGACGGGCATGATGAGAAAAAAAAAGCAAGGAAACGAAGCCACCGCTCCAAAATTTGAGAAGATCTAGAGTAGATTTTGGTAGTGAAATTAGGTTCTGTTGCCCCCTGGCAATCATCAGTTTTGTTGGATTGATGAGTCCAGAGGATATTTTGGATTAAGACGAAATTTTCAAACTATAATTCTCAAATCTTCAAAATCCAAACTAACTTGTTTTCAATGTCAATTCAAATGATTTTAAGAACAAGTGGTCAAATCAATTACTAGGATTTGCTTTTGTATTTTATATCTGAATATGTTTAAATGAATAGATTTCACATTTGTTAGCTCTAGCATTTGACTACCGGGCGATTATGGTTGTACGAACTCTATTATTACGTGACTAATATAATATAGATCCCTGTTTGTCAAAAAAAAAAAGAAGAGTTTTTTCACATTCATTTGTCAGTGTAGAGGTAAGGGGTGAGATTTTGGAGAATCCCTAGTCATACAGTTTGTTTGGATGGTTGTAAACTGTTGTATTATATCGTATTGTTACTTTAAAATACAATATTTGTTTTCATTATTACTTAAATTTTATTGTATCGTATCATTAAATCCGTCGTTACGTAATGATAAAAAGTGCCACTTTATGGAACGACTGATTTGGTGTGGTCGCGTCGTTTCTTTTTTTTCTCTCATTTTGCTCTTTTTTATTTTAAAAAATCATATTTTATCCTTTACCCTACCTTTTTATATAATAAAATAACCTCGCCCTTTACTTTTTTTTATTATAATATTGCAAGTTTATTCTTCATATTTGTTGGTGCATCATGAAACAACGGCAAACAATACAATCTATTCAAATATTGTATACATCAAAATGATACAGTACAATACAATACAATACTATACTATACGATATATTATGAAACGATACATAACAACCATCCAAACAAGCTGTTAGAGAACTTCTTATTTGTCCGAAAAAACACAAATTTTGGAGTATTTGGAATTCATATACCGAGCCTCAACTAGATTGAGATTGAGGTGTAGTTGTCGTAATCGCCTTCATAAAGTTACCACTAGTCATGTCAATTTTTGTTGACTGGCAGTTTTTATGTCAAGAGTGAGGCAGAGCCAAGATTTAAAGTTTATGGATTCTGAAATTATCGACGGAGCCCATAACTCATCTTAGTTACTGGATTCACAATTAAATATTTAATAAGTTTTTTAATACAAATATAGTGTTTAAACAAAAATGACTGATTCTGCCGAACCCACACCTAATAGGCTAGCTCCGTCTCTGCGCCGTGAGATATACAGAAGAGTCAAGTGTAGATTCAGGATTTGTTGTATCCTTTGGTTCTTCCTCTGGTTTCTCATTCTGCAATGTCAAATCCATCTCAACTTTCATCTTATTTTCTGCAATTTTGTTTTGAAGAAATTCAATAAGATTTTGAAGAGATATATTTGGATTCTTGCTTTTTAACAGTTCTCCTGCAACTTCTGCAGGAGTAACTTCCACTGCTTCTAAGAGTTGTCCAATCTGATCAAACAATTCATGTTCTTGAATTCTCAAGTAATTGAAACCTAGTTGCTTGAACGCGGATAACTTGCAATATGACATGTGAATATGCATATCCATTCTACCTGGACGCAGCAGTGCTGCGTCCAGTTTATCTATGTGGTTGGTCGTGACAACGATTATCCGTTCCTCTCCACAACACGACCAAATCCCGTCAAGAAAATTAAGTATTCCCGACAGTGTCACCTGGTGAAAATAGAAGCAACATATGTATAAAGAGTATGAGTTGAGGTAAGAAAATATCTAATACGAGCTGCACAATGATGAACTACAGTCAAACCTTTCTATAATAGTCTCGTTTGTTTCGAATATTGTTTTGGTTGTACTGTTATAGAGAATATATATTATAGCATAATATGAAAAATCGGTTCCAAAGAAAATTTGGCTGTTATAGCAAAGTATTATCATAGAGAATGACTGTTATACAGAAATTTGACTATAGTATTGATTTATGTACAGTCAAACCTCTCTACAACAATCTCGTTTGTTCGAAATATTTTTTGGCTGCTATAGTGAAGTGTTGTTATAGAGAACATATATTGTAACATAAAATGAAAAATTGGTTCCAAAAAAAAGTTGGTCGTTATAGCACAGTGTTGTTATAGAGGATGACTGTTATACAGAAGTTTGACTATAGTATCGATTTATGTACAGTCAAACCTCTCTATAACAGTCTCATTTTGCTGCTATGGCGAACATATATTATGCAACATATGTGTGAAAAGTATGAGTTGAGGTAAGAAAATATGTGATACGAGCTGCAAAATGATGAATTGCAGTCAAACCTCTCTATAACAGCCACATTTGTTCTGAATATTTTTGGCTGTTATAGCAAAGTGTTGTTATAGAAAACATATATGAAAAATTGGTTCTAAAGAAAATTTTGTTGTTATAGAGGAAGACTGAGTTTTACTATAGTATCGATTTAAGTACAGTCAAACCTCTGTATAATAGTCTCGTTTGGTTGCTATAGTGAAGTGCTGCTATAGAGAACATATATTGTAACATAACATGAAAAATTGGTTCTAAAGAAAATTTGACCGTCATGTTGTTATAGAGGATTGAGTGTTATAGAGAAGTTTGAATGCAGTATTAATATATATATGTACTCACCCTATTGTGCTTATTTTCCTTTTCATCCTCCTTTTCTCTGTTTTCTAGCTTGATACTGCAATCAATGTCCTCGATCACAAGTATGGAACGGCTGGACATGCCAAGTAACAAGGATCGTAGATTTGAATTGCTACGAACTTCTGTA